CCACTCTATTGAGCATTAGGTAGTAGGATTCCCTAGAACTTAGTGTGGCCCTAAGATCACTGCCTGCTTCTTAGCCTCCATTTTATACCTGAGGAAATGCTGTAGCCAAAGGACTTGCCAAAGCCGCCAGCAGCGGGACTAAGATCAGATGTTCCATTTTCCAGTTCAGTGTTTTTTCTCCTCCACAGTATTCCTTTCATCTTAAGGCTACTATGTTATTTTTATAGTTTCAATGATTCTTGACATAATATTAGTATTTGGGCTTATATGTTTGTATTCAAAATCATTTTCTATTCGCCTATGTATCTCTATAAGGAAGCCATCCCATTCTTTGGGATGTTACCATCGGGACTGGCGACAATATGGCAAGCTTGGCACTTACATCAGAATGAAATTGTGGGTGGAGAAAAAGCAACCTCAGAGCTTTGAGAAATTTTCATATGCCTTAACAAAAGTAATTATAGAGCAAGAGAACCTCAATTTAGGGAAAAGCATAAGTTGCCTTAGGCTTCATATACTTAAAGTGGGGAAAATGCTTTTGGTGTTTTTCTCTCAGCTCTCTCTGTTTCTCCTGTGGTAATTCCATTGCATTTCCAGTTTTTAACTATCGCTTCCACAAAAAAATTAATAAATAAAAATTGAAAACTATTCCTTCAACTATCCTTTCTTAAGTACCCATCCCCTTTTCTGAGCTATCTCCTGGGCATGTCATCCAGGACCTCCCCAAGCTGCTCGAACACAAAATGCGCACAGGGAAATCTCTGTCTGCACATTGCTTGTACCCACACCCTGGCCGCTCCTGTATTCCCAGTTACCATTCAGTCTATCTGGCTCCTCCCCCCTCCACCCCCTCCCCATCCCCACTCCTCCTCCTCCTGTGAGAGAGGCTCAAAATCATGGGGCCCTCTCTTCCCACCAGTTCCCATTACTAATCTTTACTGTTTTGCTTGTACCTGCCATTTTGACCCTTCCCCGTGTCTTCTGTTGACACCAACTGTGCTTCTGGATCCTATTGCCAATAGGTTTCCTTTTATATTCTCTTGTTCTATCTCATGTGCTGATGTGCAAACCCCTCTCAGCATTCGATGACCATATCTTACATCAATAAGGTACTCACATGCCAGTTTCACATATTCTTCCTGATCCATTCAGTCAAAAGTACTGCCACCTACCCTGACCTCCCAAAGATCTTATTCTCTACCTTTCTTATGACACATACTTGTTGTTTAATAAAAGTAGTACTTGTTGGGCACATATTGTGTACATATATGTGTATCAGACATATACGTAGGCACTTTATATACATTTTCCTTTAATCCTCTCATCAGCCCTATAAGACCTAGTAGGACCTCTACACCAGAGACCCATACCTAATTGGTTTTGGGTACAGCTTGGATACGGGGACTTTTATAGACTCCCTGGGTGATTCCAATGTGTGGCAAGATTGAGAACCGCTGGTAAGACTCCAGACCCATTAACCAGCTACTCTCCAGGAGTACATGTCACATTTGGAGCTTTAAAAACCAACCGAATGCTGGACTCCAGCCCAGCCCTACCAAACTGGCATCTCGGGCAGGGGAGCAGGGGTAGAGCCTGGAAATCCATGTATTAACAAAGCTTCACAGGCGATTCTTTACACGGCCTGGATGGAGGACCACTTTCTCAATCAGACACTGTCCCATCTCCCCATATTACTATACTACAGGTAATTGTGTGTACCTGCTCTACTACATAGTCTATAAACTCTTTGCGGACAGGTTTACATTTTACTCTCCTTGATCTGTTCCATGGCACCAAGCAAGATCCCTTGTACATAATATGTTTTAGAAACTAAAAAAAAAAATTTTAATAAAATAAAATGCCCTTTGATGACCTTATTAAGAAAACAAGGAACACCTTTACCCAATTATTAGTCTCTTTGTAGTAGGTTTTTAATCTGTACTGTACTGACCTGGAACTAAGCAAGTCATTCTAATCCTCTGAGCATCACAGTGGCATGGCTATGCAGTGTCAGAGCCGGGGTTTGAACCCGGCTTCTCTGACAACACTCTTTCCCTTGTCTCTCTGGACTTAAAAGCAACTACAAAGTGAAATCACTATGCGTTTGGGTAGATGCTGTCAGACTTGCTTCTGTCATCTGAATATAACCTGTCACATGGCGGGGAATAAAACTTTTGGCATTATGAAATGGATTTAGAAAAACATATCAATTTAAAACCAAAAAATTAATTGTGTGCCCTAAGAGATACCCCCTTCTCATCAGTCTGACCCTCCATATCCCCAGATGTACATATGAACAAACACACCTTTTACTGTTATTTGACATTTCTTGTCAAGTATTCAATTACTATTGTACATTGGTCATTTTATTAGCTTTCCTTTTCTTGGTTTGTGCTATTTCTCAGACTTTTCAAATAACCTGAGCTTCTGATTGTAAGTGAAGTTTATGTAAAGGTTTATATACAGATACTGAAGGCAGTAAATTGGCATAATGTTTCATTCAGTATGAATACGCACATAAAATGCACACAGGGATAAAGTTGAAATCACAAACAAGACTTAGAAACCTGAATCCCAGGCTCTTTTTTGCCATTTCTAAGCCAGCTGACTCTGCACAAGGAGTGACTTTCCAGAACCTCTTGCCTCACCTAAAAAATATAAAAGGGAAGAGGACCTAAAATAGATCCTGCAAAATTTTCTTCCAAACATCATTATTTTAAAGGATCATAAAATTTCACAATTTATTGCTGGTATTTTGGTAAAGATTAAATTAATAATTACTCATCTTTATTATTATGTTGATATTTTTAAAGATGAATTGAATCACAATGAAATTTGTAGACTTCTTTACAGTTTAGAAAGTGTTCACCTTCATTGTCTCTTTTGGTTTTAATAGCAGAACTGCAGAATAGTTATTACTCCCATTCCACAGAAAATCAAACTGAGAAGCAGAGAGGTTAGATGAGTTGCCCAGGATAACAAAATCAGAAAATGACAAACCTAGATCCCTCCTGGACCCCGCTTTGACCCCAGCGACACCTCAATGGCTACAGGCAAAGCTGGAGATGGAGGCCAGGTAGATCTGACATGCAGACAGCTCGGCTCAACAGCCTGTCTGCCTCCCCAAAACGTCTTCTAGCCCAAACCCCTATAAATCACCTTAGAATAGAATATCAAGCAGGGATTTATTTAGCATATCATTTCTGGGTGTGTATTTTCCTGAGCATTTATAGATCTGTGTTTCCAAGAAGCTGAGCGTTCCTGATAATACAAGACAGATAATGATAAATGAGCATCTATGTACGCCTAGCTGGGAAGAGGACCAGGAACTGTTACCACCCATTCTGTGAACTTAATCCAGTGTCTTTTATCTATTTCTTTATTAGTTAATGAGGTCCTGCAAAAAAAAAAAAAAAAAAAAAAAAACCACAACAACTCTGATGGCATTTTAGCATCCTTGCCTTTAGGAACACTTTCAAATATTCATAAAGTAGCTCACCTGACCAAGCTTAAAGCAAAGGTACATTAAATATGGATCTAGTTAACTTCAAATGTGGGTGGCCAAAAAACTACTCCTGAAATAACCTAAGTAAATCCTCCTCATTGGCGTTTCCAGATGGGCAGCCCTGGGCGCAAACGTGAAGGGGACCAGGGAAGAATATGATTCCGAGCAGCCAGGACTCCGAGGGGCAGCCCCGGGGCTTTGGTCCTGCTGCCTGACTGACAGCGGTGTGGCTTGCTGTGGGAAAGCTGAATAACTTAAGGGAAACAAAAACAAAATGAAAAAGGAATTCCCAGTCAAGCCCCTAGGAAGGAAGGAAAGCAGACGCTAGATCTTATGGCTCCTGGGAGGCCAGAGACCTGTTTCCCACTTCGGTTCCTTATGGCAAAGAGGGAAAAGAAAAATCTCAAAAGACGGTTTGGTGCTCAGTGATACATTTGGAAAGGCAAACCAACCTGGAAGCTCGGTGAGCCGCTAAACCGAGCCCTGGGGTGCAGTGGCTCTCAGCAATTACCTCTATGACCTGGTTTTAGAGGGTACCCTCCAGTTTCTAGGAACACAGCTAGAACACACACACACACACACACATTCTCTTCACCGCCCCCCCACACACACCCAACGTTCATCATCCCACAGCACAGCCACCCACATCCTTCCCACTTTCCACCCTTTCATGATTCTGTTTCCCCAAAACATCACGTAATGAAGTCAGCACTATGGCTCTTCTTCTACAAGCAGTTTATAAGCAAACTTTCATTTCATTCTGGGTGATCTGGACTATCTAGTGTACACTTTGGCTAAGAAGTTGAAAATTATAGCCCAGGATTCCCCTTCCTGTTTCTGCACATGTAACCCAAATCAGCCTCCAAGATGGTGCAGGTCTTCCTACCCTTCCTTTAGGAAGAGGTTGAGGAATAAGGAATAAAGGACCAAGTCCCCTGACCTTCAACCTCATGGACAATGTGATAAATCACAGCATTACTGGGCACTCCGTGCTGCCTATGAATATCTATGCTCTAAAAGGCCCACTCATATTCTTTGGCCTTTTCAATATTAACCCCAAATGAAGGAAAGCTCTGAGCCACACTTCTGAAAGGAGATGGCCATGTAATCTCACTCTGCAAATTTGGAGAGAAACAAACACGCATGAACAAGGGCTAGTAATGCAAATGTTACCTTTCGCAGCTCAGTGCTCAACTTTCTGGTCATTTTATCATCTGGCTGTGAACTTCTTCTAAATGTAAAAAAAAAAGTTCTTGAAAAAAATAGCAGTAGCACAGCATAATAATAATGCTGCCTTGAGAAATGCTCAGAGTATAACATTCCTCTTTTGTCGCAGGCCTTGAGGACACTGAGAGCACTTTGACAGCCATTATGAGTACAAAAGATACAAGCCAATGTTGGCTGTGCCAGATGTCATTTTGCCTTTCTCAAAAGAAACACTGTTACATCCCAGACATAAATTTGACTGTGTCCTGTCCTTACTGTTCTATTGCAGGTGATTCACATAACAGGCCGGCTACGACTGAGGGTGTCGCTGTCCCATGGAAGGACCGTCCCCAGCCAAATCATGGGGCTCGTGGTTGTGGCGCATGCCTTGCCTCCCCCTACAATCAATGAAGTCAGAATCGACTGCCATATGTTCGTCACTCGAGTAAATATGGACCTCAATATCATTTACTGTGAAAATAGGTACTTGGTTTTTGTTTCCATTTGCCCTGCTATATGTTACACATTGGTGAGGGTTCTTGTTTTTAGCAGCCTGAAGAATTTTACTCTCCCAATGAGGCTCATTATAAATCCTGATCTTATTTTTAATGGCTGCTTGGACTGACACCAAACATGCTTTTCATTTAAAATTTACATTGCTGCCCTGATTTACTTTAGGGATAACAATGGAATGAATTGGGATACCCAGACATCCTTGCGCTATAATTAAGGCCCATTTGGCCAAAAATGCAAGGAGAGAGCAGGGCTGAGACGTTATTGGGAAATGATGCAGGAAAAGTTATCTCCTGATCCTCAGCCAGGCCCTCTCCCTGACTCCCGCAAAGGCCCGGCCTGATGATGGTCAGCATTCAGAAGGCATTTAGCACGTTGCCGTAGTCATCCCAGGCTGCTATAGCAAAGTACCATAGATTGGAGGCCTAACAACAGACATGTATTTCGCATAGCTCTGGAGGCTGGGAGGTCCGAGGTCAAGGTGCAAGCTGATTAGATTCCCGGTAAGAGCCCTCCTCCTGGCTTACAGATGGCTGCCTTCTGCTGTGTTCTCACACAGGGAGGCAGGGGGCTGTGGTCTCTTCTTTTTATGGGGACATAAGTTCCAGCACAGCGCCTCTATCCCCATGACCTCATCTAAACCTCATCTAAAGCAAAGGTCCTACCTCCATCACACTGGGGGGAAGGGCTTTAATATACAAATGGGGAGGTACAGAAACATTTAGTCCACAACACATAAAGAGAACCAATGAGAATCTGAGCCTCCCAAAGGAAAAAATAAAAGACAAAAAGTTGCATCAGGATTCTGATCTTGATATAGGTCATCAGACTGGTCTGAAGCTTTCTACACATATATTAAATAAAACTTTGTAATTCTCACTTTCATAAATTTTTTAAAAAGATGACTCATTGTGTAAATGACTTGGCAGTCCTTCCACAGGATTGAGCTTTTATAAAAGGACTTTTGAGCCTTTGGTTAAAAGTTCACTTTTTCCATTAAGCAAAAAGCAAGAGACAAGGAAAAAGGCCAATGCCCCTTCAGACCTTTCACCTGGAAGTCACCAGCCCATCATCAGACTAATTTAAAGAGAAAGGAATCAGGGGGTATGAGGAGAGCGGTAGAAAGGAGCTGTCCAGGTGCCGGCTGCTGAAGGAAGCGTTGGCGATGCTGCCCATCCCCAGTGGCACAGACAGAATTGCTGAGTCGATTTTGAGGTGCTGTGGTGGCACAGAGTGTTGTCAGGCATGAATACAGTATATGCCCACTGAGCCCTGGGAGTGCCTCTGGAGGAAAAATGAAAGAGCAGATGGTCAAGTGGTTTGGGCAATCGATTTCTCCAGGCGGAGCCTAGAGGCGGGCAGACAGCACCTGCATGCGGTCCATGGGAAATCCCAACGGTATTGAGACTGAGTTAGAAATGCCTACCATTTCCAGTCAGAATTTGGTTCAGAGGAAAGCATTCACCAAAGGAGGAAGTACCCACACGACTCTTAATGTCCAGTGGGGTAGAAGATATCATGAACCTGTCGCTATTTTTTAATAAGTAACTAAATCTATTTTTCAAGTTTTGGTGGCATTTATTAAAATTTTTATCCTTGTGACTCTATGCTAAGGTATTCTGGAATGGCCACACACTATCAGGAAAGACAGTTAGCCAGAACGTTGGCAAGAGTTGGCAAGTAATAATAACGATGGCTAACATTTATTGTTATTACACACTTGGCAATGTGCAAAGCTCATTATACAGGGTGGGGCAAAAGTAGGTTTACAGTTGTTCAGGTGGAAAATAACACAATAATTAATAAATAATAATACAAGAATAAACTCTGTTTCGCCTATTCACCATGCAATATTCACAGCACGATATTGTGTGCACCATCTCACTGAAGCCTCTGGACAGTCCTATGAGGTAGGTCTTGCCATTGTCTCATTTCCCCCTAGGCCACGATTTAAACCCAAACCTGCCAGATTCGGAAACCAGGCACTTAACTACACATCCCGTGGGGTCCCCCTGCAATCCAAATTGTCTCTCATTTTTCTTCAGAAGCCAGGCTAGATGGTAAGGAATTGTTCAGGATAACATATGCACCCATGAAAAACACAGTCACAGCCCACAGAGCTATTTATTCACTAATTTAAAAGGGATGAAGATTGCTGGAGACCCAGGGAGGCAGGCAGGAAGTCAAAGGATAAACTATGGTGCTGCTTCTTTGAAAATATACGTCAGCTCCCTTGGTTTAGGTTTATCACCACCAATCCATCCAAAAAGAAAAAAAAAGAAAAAATGGAGACTCATCTTATTTACCTAAGTTTACCCAGTGATTGTCCTATCTCAAAACCACCCCTTAATTTTCATTCAAAAGAAGTAATCACAGTTTCATTCTTTGCAGAGGGCTCCATGGACTCGGGTACCCATGGTGCCTCGGCGCTACTCTTGTAATTGAGACTTTCTGGGATCGCTTTAAGGTTTTTTTCCTTCCCACTTAAAAAAAAAAAAGTTTTCCACAACCCCTTATTAGCCAATACAATACAGCATTATTTTGCAAGTGAAGATATTAGTTATTAGAAAGACCTGTGTGAAAGGTGATGGCATACTTGCTCCAAGGGGGAAGCGCACTGTGTGCTGGGCGCCATGCTACGTTCATCTCATTCACTAACCCCCTCCCCAGCCTCTTCAGCTGTTCTACAGAGAAAGAACCTGAGGCTCAGAGCATAAGATGCAATCAGATTCTGATTCTAATAGAGGTCATCAGACTGGTCTGAGGCTTTCAACACATACAGCCAGAGGTCTTTGAACACACGGAGCTGGTCACATTCACCACGCTAACAGGCTCTGGTACAGAGAAGTGGTTCAATCATTTGGAAGGATTTCATTCAACTAAAGGATAAACTAAAAAAAAAGTCTTCCCTAAGGAATGAAGTGGCTTTTTCCCGGGGTTTATTGTTTAATTAGGGAATTGCTAACTAGAAACCGAAGCCGATCCTTGACTCTGCAGACCACCCTTCTCCCCCACGGTCCCAGGACAGCCTCCGGCAAAGCCACCATCTGATGCTTCCAGAGGAGCTGGCACATTTCAGAAAGACCATCAAGGGTCTTTTAATGACGTCCTTGTTCCCTCATTTGCAGAAAGGGGGTGTAAACTGTGCCGGGAAAGCAGCAAATGGTTTCAGGAGAACACCAACTCATCTGTTTTGTACCAGAAAACCATGGAATTCTGAGAAAATACTCCTTTTTACTGCCCCATTTAGTCTTACCTTACCAAGAATTCTAGCTCGGCCAAAAATATGATTTATATTGCGAGGCACTGAGAAATTCACTCACTGGGTAGTATGTTTTAATTATGCTCCATATTATTCTGCTTTTGTTTTATTTCTTATTTCCCTGCCTTGGGAGTCAAATTTAACTCCCCAGCAGTGATCTCATGAGTTTCTTAAATGTGCCATTTCTAAAGAGTCACGTCCTGTTCTAAGCCACATACCCCAAAATGCACAGGGACATTAAAGAGAATAAATTAAACAAAAGATATAGTTTATTTTGGACTGACCAGAGTGAGTCTGTACTTGGAAAGGAAGGAGGATAATAAGCATGTTGACGTGTTTGTGTAAACCAGGCAGATTCTCCCAACATGTTTTCCAATTTTGTTCTATTTTCCTGTGCTCCTGCCTGAGGACATTGACGTCTAGGCGATCAATGACAGAGGCTTACACACACGTAATGCTGAGCACAAGGCTGGAAGAGCTGCTGAAATGGTTTAAAAGTTTCTGTGTGGAATGCACCACAAAGTGCCAGTTAAAAGGGCCAGGAGTGAGCGCTGAGCTCCCAAATGACTGAGACTAAAAAAGATAATACCCCCAGGCATCTGTATGTCTCAGCATTTAAATTATATCCCTTGAAATGCCAATTTGGACTTTGTGCCAAGAAGCCGTTGAAGCCCTTTTTCATGGAAATACCCAATAGAAGACCAATCTGTTTAAATGAAAGGTGTCTCTAATCATTTGGTATAAACATAACATGTTTTTATTTTATTATGTAACCTTGAATTATCTTGGCCTGTAATGAGGAACTTGCATTGTTCCTGATTCTCAATAATTTCATGAAATTGTGTTGTCTAAACGTGTATTTGGATGCAAAAAAAAAAAAAAGAAGAAGAAAAACCTATCTAATTATTTAAACACAAATGCTTGATCTAGTACACTTTCTACTTTTTGAAAAGTCTGTTATTCATTAAAGAAATAATCTGACGTATAAAGGGTTTTCCCTCAAAGTGCCAAGTCCTCCTGGGTACCCTGGTAGAATGAAAATTGCCAGTAGATTTGTTTCTAAGTCATCTGACCATTTTTCTATTTTCTCCCTTTCTGAATTCCAGTCTGTTGTTCTCGTTGTAGGATCAGTGATTATATGGATCTGACCCCTGTAGACATTGTGGGGAAGAGATGCTACCACTTCATCCACGCTGAGGACGTCGAGGGCATCAGGCACAGCCACTTGGACTGTAAGTACCTCCCGCGGGTGGGCACAAGCACGAGGGTTTTGTCTCTCTCTGATGCCTGTTTGGTTTCAGTGCCGGTTTTCCCCTTCATGTCTCCTGTGTACCTTTGAGGTAACTGTCAGCATCTGGTGAGAAATGAGACATAAATCACTTCAACTTGTGCTGGAATTAGACTGAAAGTTCGGCCCAGAGACCTCAGGCCCAGAGAAATTGCTGGATCTTTAGGTGCTTACCCGGGATTTCGTGGTCTCTTGTGCCTTCTCTCCCATGAAGTGATGGCGGAACCTTTGTCTTAAGTGCTTTCTTGACCTTTTCATTTTCTAGGGAGCAACATCCAGTGTGAAATTTGTGGTCTCGGTTTCAAAATATACACGGGAGAAGACAGGTTCAACAGAACCTATAAAATTCCTACTTGATGAGCCACAGAACTGGGGCGAGGGGGAAGCCCGGGAGCAGGGGCAGAGCGCACCTTGTGGACACGGCTCTCAAAGGCAGTGTCTTCTGCTGTATTTCTGGAAAGAGGGTTATTCAAGGAAGCAGGTACCTATATCTCTGCATTCCTGGGAGAAGGACACTCACCTTAGCTCTTTGAGCCACGTTCCCAGCTCCAGACCTGCAGGCTGACCTCCTGGGCACCTTTCATGGCACTTAAGCAAAGCAGGCCCGGCAGTTCTCTGGCTGGGTCCAAGGAGGAACCCGCACACCAGTGTCCTCAGGAAGTTGTCCTTCATCAGACTCACCTGGGCTGTTTACACTGTACACAGATTATGGGTCTGATAATCCCAGAAGGTGAGAGGCTCTGGTCTGGTAGTCCCCTTAGGAAGGGACTGTCTTGTCTTCTTCCAACCAGAGGCCCTTTTTATGATCATGCCATAGATTCTTCCTGAAAGAGGAGGGCCCTACCCGCTTTATTCCTCCAAGGTTCTGAACCCAGCCCTGAACTCTGATTTTACATACACGAGAGGTAGCTCAGATGAGATGGTGCTCCTGGAAGCCGAAGCTTTTTGCAGAAAAGCAGCCTGGTGGCCTCTGTGTTTTCTTCCTCTCTCCTTTCTCACCATGGTTGAGGAGAGTTGTCTCAGATCTTCCCTTTGCAGTTGTTTGCTCTTTTCAAACTCAGATATTCAAAAGGATAATAGAGAGACAGTAAGCTAGCCAAAATCTCAGAGTGGGAACATCTTGTATTGGGTTTTTAACCCTGCATTAGCAACAATGGCCTGGGACCAAGTTCAGTGTCAAATTTTGCACATACCATGTCTCTGGGAAAAGCCGGCCCAAAGGCTGCTCCCCAGCAGATTCTACTTCCAGCAAAGGGAGTGTGCCGTGGTAGTGCACACCCGGGGTTTAGGGGACACACTTGTTGCCGCAAATAAATGGTGGTTGTGTTTTGCAGAAGCAGATGGCTCTTCAATTAATTGTGGGGGGAAATGATGCTGTTTCCTGAAAGGAAACATCAGGTTTTTGTAGCTGGGAATTTAGAGAAAATGGAGAAAAATGAGAATCTTTAGAGGAAGCTATGGATATCTTTTTGAACCAATATATGCCAAAGAACCAAACTTGAAAAATGAGTATGTTTGTAGGGCACTGTCATAGACCATGTGTGTGGGGAGAGACTATGTGTGCGGTGCTTTTTCATTTGGGAATCTTAATTAAGGCCTAAATTCAGAAACCTGACACTACAAAAAAGAACTTTGTCATCCTCAGTTATTATTTGGAAAACATCATGCTTTCTCTCTGAGATTTGATTTACAGCTTGAGGAAACACAATTCCTCAGGTACAGTGAGCTAGGGCAGTTCATTTTTTCCCATAAAGCAAAGGTCTCCAACAAAATATGTCTGATGCCATTCTTTCTGATCTACTTTTATCTCATTTTCAGTAACCGGAATAATTTGAGAGTGCTGAAAATAAACAACTCTGCCATTCACACTATTGTGCTAGTCTCCTAATTTTTCTGGTATCTTGCCAACTAATAAACAGAGCAGGTATGCTTTCAAATTCTGTGATTTTTTTCATTACTTGATATTGACATACTGGCTATTGCTTTATGATTTAGCCTACTAACAATGATTGAGTTCACTCTTTCAACTCATACACATGACTTCTAATTTTAAGTTCTTCTAATAACCTTAAACATATGAAAAACAAATAGAGTGAGCTGATAATTCTGCACAGTAAAATACACTTCACATATTTAGCTATCACGCTGCGGAATAACTCCACAATGTCAAGTAGCACACAATTAGTAAAACTGTAGGGGGAGGAAAAGGGAGTGTTTTGATCCTGAAGAATTTCGATCCTAATCAGATTGAAATTTCAACGTTCTTGTAGTGCTTAATATCTTCAAAAGCGCGAGTGTGCGCGCCCACGCGCGCGCGCGCGCACACACACACACACACACACAAATCTGACTGATGTCAATGTCAGGTTTTGCATTCTATGACTGAAATAAAATGCTAAAATATACAAAGGCATCTCGCTTTGTACAATAAACATTAGCATCATTATAAAGTAAGATTGAGTCTAAAATTGTGTGATGGAATATCCCATGTTTACCTAATTCTCTAACCAAAGCCAGCCCAGCAACAAAATGACAGAGCATGCAATAAGTCTCGGTTGTGTAAACACTGGGGAAAAAAAGGCAAAAAGCCAGCGCAGCATCTTGCTAGTCCAAAGCCCTAGGCTGTTACTGAAGAATGCCTCGACTGTGCCTTCTTGGCAGGAGAAGGTCATGGCGACACAGACTCAGCTCAAGAATAAGACAGAATTCTAAAACAAAGGGATGCTTCGAAAATAAACCACATTAACTATTTAGCTTTTCTTCCTAGAGCCATTGGCACAGTTCCTGGTTCTGTCCATGAAAGGCAGTTTTTAGTTATCTGACAATATTTTTGATACTTTGATATCTGCCTTGTGCTCCAGTTTATGGGTAAAACTTTTTTTAAAAGGCTCAATAGACTTTGATAACCCAAAATGCTATCTTTATCACTTATATCTCTTTTCCTAGCATACGCATCTGCAAATCCTTAGGCGAACTTGTCTCTAGAATAAGAAAAGTAAAAGGAAATCTCAGCTGCACCAGCATTTGACAACTTTGACAAATTGAACCAAGAACATTGGACCATCTACTCTCCCATTAGGTTAACACAAGATGCCTGATAGTTCACTGGGTTTCAACAGAAAGAATCAGTAGAAAGAATCACATTATCTATACCAACATAGTGAGTTAGTGACGTTATATCGGTGTTCTAAAACCAGGCGACTTTTAGGTCCTCTCTTTTTCACACTGTGAGAAAAATCCTCTGTCATTTTTTTTTTCTTTCTGTCACCTCACTGAAGTCATTGAACACAATCTCATTGATTCTTCAGGTCAAACTGACCAAATCAACATGTCAAGGTTTGAATTTTAAACCCTTCATATTAGCATTTTTTTTGAGCACCTTTGCCTATCCCCCTCCAGTTCTCCACTGCTCAGGAGGTACCGACCTTGAGATGACTAGTCACGTCACCCTAGGGTCACTTTGATATCTGCCTTGTGCCCCAGTTTATACACACCCTAGAGCATCTGTGTCACTCTTGAATATGACGGAAGCAGCACAACCTCTACTATTCCACTTCTACCTGTAGCCTGAAAAATAGAAGGGCAAACCGCAAGTCCTAAACCAGACAGAGAAACACGCTCTCCATTTCTCTTTTGTCCACAAAAAAATACTAAATTTGCCTTGAGATATCCCTAGGGATCGTCCCTGGTCAAATCAGCAACAACTCCCTAAAACCTGGAAAGAGCCCTGAGGGAAAACGTCCGTTCCCTTCATAACATTGTGCTCCACCAGCAAGTTCAAGTCTGGAGCTGTGGGGGTCTTTAGAGAAAAGAAGCCAGTTAGTGTAGAAGTGGTGGCAGTTTTCCCTTCCTAGAACCATGCAGGGTGAGGGAACTCTGGGTTAGTTCAGAAAGAGAGGACTTCCAGCTTGTCTATATGGTCACGCCGAGTTAAAAAGCATGGTCTGTCCAATAGATTTGGAGGTGGTTTAAAAAAATACAGTAGGCTAAGTGTTTATTTCTTAATTACTAAATTCTATACTTCCTAACAAAAGGAATACACAGCTACCTGGCATAATGCATCCCATGCTGTTTTGCATCAATAACCCCTACACTTTCCTCCTGAAGGCGTCTCATCGCCAATGCATGCCGACTGCTTAATGCAGGACTAATTAGTATATCCCCTTCCAGTCTGCAGGCCCTCCATTGTAATTCCTTCCCAGCTCATTTTTTTCCACAACGGAGCATCAATCAAAGTAAGTGCCCTGCCTGCCTAGGAAACACAAGATGTCCTCCATGCATTTGTCATCTGCCACACAAACAAAGGGGGAATTTAATTGTTGATTTGGGTATGCTGCCATTGCACTCGGTAAAGGAAGCTGCAAGGGAAGGGAGAAGGGAAGGAATCAAGTGTGATGGGTGGGCTAAATGCAGAGAACACAGGGGACTCTCTTCTATTTTCTGATCTTAGCCTTTTTCGGGCCTGATTCCTTAGGGACTTAGCTGCAACCTAATCATTGGCTGGACTTCTTTCCCCAAAGCAAATGATTTTTCCTCTTCTTCCATATGAATATAAAAATTCCCATGAAAGGAACTGTGCGTAATAGCTATCATGTCTGACTTTGTTTTAAGATGTTATTTATTTATTCTTAGAGAGAGGGGAAGGGAGGGAGGAGAGGGAGAGAAACATCAATGTGAGAAAGAAATATGGATCGGTTGCCTCTCGCAGGCACCCCGATCCGGGATCCAGCCCACACCCAGGCATGTGCCCTGACTGGGAATCGAACTGGTGACCTTTTGTTTTACAGGAAGAGACCCAACTGACTGAGCCACATCAGTCAGGGAATGTCTGACTCTTTTTAAAAGGCAAGTCGGCCCATACAGTGTGCCTATCCACTGACTAAAAAGACTGTCGCATGGAGACAAAATAAAGTCAGGTTTTTGCAGGAGTGAATTAGTATTATT